AAAAGAAAGTACACAGGTTGTGTTTCCTCTAATAAGATAAAAATAACAAAACCTTTTGATAAAATGGAAAATGTATGCTGAAGCACACTGTGTGCAATACACATGTTTCATCAGCAAAATGACATTGTAACAATAAACAGCGATGTAGTGATGACCACTGCAGACGGTTCCTACGATGCTAGAAGGTCATGGCCATTCCACGCAGCGGTCGGTAGGCCCATACATGCCAGCAGGACGAAGTCGTCTTGTCACTGTGAATCGGCTTACGCGATGACCCAATGATGTGGCTGCTGATGACGTCACCGTCAACATCCAGTTGCGTAGGTGAATAACCCGCAGATAGCGATCCTCTTGGGGTGTTGTGACTCTGGAACGTCCACTTCTGGGTCGATCACATGTCTGGCCTGTCGTACTGAAACGGTTAAACAGCCGAATTATGGTTTGTCTTGTGCAACCCAATGTCCTTGCAATATCGCTGTTGAAAACACCCATTTGTGTCATTCCTTTGGCCCGTTCTCGTTTCGCCGACGTCAATCTTGGCATTTCCTTGTGAGATTTCTGTCAAGTGATTGTTCAGTCTTCACGACAAACAGGAGCCAATGAAAGGTGTTCGGGAACGGGTGGAGACGGCACAGCAATGAATAAATAACTTTGTCTGTGAACGTGCTTCTCGAACACCTGGCTGTCCCTTTCTCTGCACTCTTCCCTCGTAACAAACAGTGAACTGTGTCAATATTTTAATGATAGTTTGTTAAACAACTTTATTATTTTTAGGACAAAACTTCTGCAAAAACCTCACAGAGTGGGTATGATGTTTTGATTATGATCAGCGTTTCATTGAGTTTGTTATGTTTATTAGTTTTCGAGTCAGATTGCAATTCATCGGTCCGCTTTTGAGCCAAACGGACTGGTTTTTTTGTAGTTAGAACGCATGTTTGGGATTGCAACAACAATTACACCTGTGTACTGAATTTGATCCACTCCAAATGTGTATGAGACGTTAGATGAGATTAATACAAGGATCATACCTGGAAACAACAGCCCGTGTTAGTATTCAGACTTACAAACGCAATTTATACACAGAGTATAATTTGACTAAATTACCATACCCTTATTATAGTTCAGACAAAACAGAGAAAGCTCAACATCAATTCCATATGTCTATTTATCTCGACTTGCACAGCAATGTCGCTACTCATTGCTCAAAACCGGTCACTTGCCGAGGTATACTTTTCTCGTTTGATATTTAACTCGGACACATGGAAAATCTCCCTATGAAACTCGCGAACACATGGCAACTTATAATAGATATAGTACGTCTATGTAGTTACAAAGAACACAGATAGTGATGATGATGATGATGATGATGATGATGATGATGATGATGATGATGGTGATGATGGGTCCAAACAATCTTACTTCACTGTTTCAACTCTGTCATTGACAGTGTGTTCCGCGATGGTGCGAAGGTAGACCATCTGTCTCCTAGGTGTCGTGCTGGGAGGACTACAATCTATTTGTCAGTGGATGCAGTTGTCACAACACACAGTACATGTACTTTTAATTGCAGTGATGACGTAGCTTGTTCCTTTCATTTCCGTCTTCGCCATGCATGTGGTTTGCTTCCATCCACGGTACGCCTCAGAACATGAAGAAGGCAATTATGGAAAATGACAATTATCCAATTATTATTATTCTCTGTGTGTGTGTGTGTGTGTGTGTCTTTGTGTCTGTGTCTGTGTCTCGCTGACTTGGTTGACACATGTCATTGTATCTCCATTGCGTAGATCGATGCTCATGCTGCTGATCACTGGATTGTCTGGTCCAGCCTCGATTATTTACAGACCGCCGCCATATAGCTGGAATATTGCGCAGTGGGGTCGGCGTTAAACAGCAAACCAACCAACTACCCTGAATTCCGAATCTTGCGAATCCTCTTTGCTGCGTTTATCTATCTTAATCTATAAATAAAATTTAAAATGGTATGTTTAGTGATCTAATTTATCACTGATACACACTGGTACCATCATTATGAGTGTGAGTGAGTGAGTTAACATTTTACGTCACAAGGGCAATATTTCAGTCATAACATGAAGAGCCCCCTCGAGTGTGATGATATCAGATATTTAATCAACTGAATTATCCAGGATGTCAGTTTAGAATAAAATATTAGCAAAACAAAATCATTTGAATGAACCTATTGAATCACCTGAATTATCAAGGATGCCAATTTAAACATGTCAAAACAAATACCTGGAATCGATGGCAATTACCCAAACAATGACGCTAGAAGCTTTTAATAAGACTGAAGTGTGACTCATATGTTACATTTGACAGCTTTCTAAATGGCATTGTGTAGTCATCACGTGATCCACGCAAAACGCCAATGCAAGAGAATAACCTGAGTTGCAAAGATTGGCCTCACCAAAGGCAACAACAAAAAAGATTAAAGGATTTATGGTGAAAAAAGCCATGAAATGTCACGATACTTGAAAACTATACACTTCATAAGAGTGCTTAACAACCAGTATCTGGTTTGTCATCAAGTAACGTTCCAGGTGGATTCGGCAAGGATACAAAGCTGTGAAGTGTTTCGATAGAGCAAGAGGGATCATCGAACCCAGGTCTTGGGCATGACGAGCGAATGCTTTAACCATTAGGTTAGGGGGGGCCAGGTTAGACTACCACGCCATGCCTAAACCCATGTGGGTGCACTGTTTGAAGCCCATTTCTGGAGTCCCAGCCGTGATAATGCTGAAATTTGAGTATTCTTCATGGATCAACTGCTTTTTAAATAATTACTTTGATGTTAATTTGACTTTCTAATGCGGTGTTAAGGTCTAATGTATTTATACTGTCTAACAGATTTTGGTGATATGTGCCTGGTCTTCCTGAAACTGGTTCTTGATGTATTTTTGTTGTTTAATAATCAGTTCTCACCGATGGGTATATTAATTACTTGTGTAACTCTTGTTTTCTAAATGACAAAAAGAAACTTCACAAAATGTAAATTGAAAAATAATGAATGATTTTTCTCAGATGATACATCTATGTATCCGAAATGGGATCCCTATCTTTCGACTCTAGAAGCACGTGCAGTCGATCACGTGATCTTCCCATCGAAGTTTTCTTCATATGCACGTGTTTGCATTGGCCTCAAGAATTGAAAAAAAACACTTTTGAACCACAATTCTAACGGTACTTGAAATGCCACGATTGTCAAATGTGCAACGTGAACGTGCCGTTGGCATGTTGCAAGCGGGAAGATCAGTTATTGACGTCGCAAGAGCAATGGGATGCAGCCGCCGTACTGTGTATGACTTGCGAGGTCGTCTACAACAAACTGGCACCACTTCTGATCGCCCAAGATCGGGTCGTCCACGTGTGACGTCACGAGCAGAAGACCGTCAAATCGTCCTACGTCACCTACGTGACAGATTTCCGCCGGCTACACGAACCAGGGCTGAGATGTTTAGAGGTCGACTGTCCTCACAGAGGCTGGCTGCCAATCTCCATTCTCGACGTCCATATCGTGGGCCAATATTGACGTCGTTTCAACGTCTGCTGTGGGCCCAACGTCACCTCCGATGGACCCAGAGAGACTGAAATCGAGTCGTCTTTAGCGATGAATCCAGGTTTACCCTCAGATTCGCGGACGGCAGGCATAGAGACTGGAGACGACGTCGTGAACGGTATGCCCAATGTTGTGTACAGGAAGTCGACAGATTCGGGGGCGGAAGTTGCATGGTGTGGGGTGCTTAATGGGAACAACCGTTCCCGACTTCTGGTCATCCGTGGAAACCTCACAGCTGCTGCTTACCGCAACCAGGTGCTCACTCCTGAACTCGTTCCTTTCATGGCTGCTCATGGCCCAGGTCGACAGCTCCAGCATGATAATGCTCGGCCGCATACCGCGATGTTGACACGAAATTTCCTTCAAAACGCTAGAATCAAGGTCATGGACTGGCCATCCAGGTCCCCTGACCTTAATCCAATAGAGCACGTTTGGGATGCACTTGGGAGAAGGCTTCGTGGTCTTAGGAACCAACCTCAGAATTTGCAGGAACTTGGCGCTGCCTTGCAAGAGCAATGGCGCAGAATCCCCAACCACGTATTCACAAGCATCAGGCATTCGATGAGGAGACGGTGTTTGGCAGTGGTGAATGCGCGGGGCGGCCATACACGATATTGAACTGAGAAATTTCGCATGTTTATTCTTGTGACTTGACATTCTGTATACCCATGTTTTGGAACGGCGGTGTAGTGTAATGGAACTGATTATGTCACTGTCAGTGTATCGAGTACATCACACAGATCTCAGCAATACAATAATAACAATTTAACCATCTTACCATCTCTTGTTCTTTTATAGTGCCCTGAAGAAAGAATGTGAAGTTTCTTATTTGACTCAGTATAGCTAATTGATTGTTTTGATTTTCACCGTATTCATGCCTCTATATTTTGCATTGTACTAATATTTTGTTAGTAAGAATTCATACTCAAGTTTATATATGAGAGACTGTAAAACTGCAGCAGTTGAGATCACTGATAGCAGCTGAATTAATGAACGTTGACAACAGTTAGTTTTGATAGGTGAGCACTTAATCAGCTTTGTATGATTGCTCTCAGTCTTGAGTATCAGTTCACATCCAACCATAAATAACATGATGTATTTAACAAAGTGACCACAAATCAGAAAAATCCAGTATATATATCAATCTCTCTCTATCTCTCTGTCTCTCTCTCACACACACACACTATGATGTCCGGTAATTGCAGATAAGACAATTAATTGCTCGCTCTCTCTCTCTCTCTCACACACTATGATGTCCGGTAATTGCAGATAAGACCATTAATTGCTCTCTCTCTCTCTCACACACACACACACACACACTCACTCACACACTCTTAAAGGTGTCACCTTAACTGGCCGATCGATCCGACAACAGGTGAAGTGCGTCACTGGCTTATTCGGCTCGTCAACACCATGCGACGGAAACCTATTATCGCTGTCCTTGCTGTGATTCAAGGCCTAGGTGCTTGGGTCATATATTTGCGGATGACAGGTGAGTGTGTGTTGAGTCCAATATGTACACAATGATTTAGTATAGGATTTGAGGGTAAATATCAAGTCCTACTCCTCTAATCCGTTGCGTTTGTCTGTTTGTTGTTTAACCCCACACTCAGCAATATTCCAGCTATAATATTATGGTAACACATCTCGTCTGAAGCATACTCACAAATCAGTGCAACTGGGATAAAATAACATGCATCAACATGGTCAGCGAACCTGACCATCCGATCTCGTTAGTCGCCTCTTTAGACAAGAGTCAGTAAATGAGTGGTTTTACGCCGCTTTTAGCAACATTCCAGCAATATCACGGCGGGGGACACCAGAAATGGGCTTCACACATTGTACCCATGAGGGGAATCAAACCCGGGTCTTCGGCGTGACGAGCGGACGCTTTAACCACTAGGCAAGACCCTCTTATATTATGATACGACGTATCGGTTAAATTCTTACATGTATACCGTTTTCCATCACTCTTGCTTTGCAACGCTGTAAGTATCTAAACAGGAAGACAAGAAGACCACTTCTAACCCGGATCTTCACGGGTCTGTTTCATTGGGTCTTGATTCGAATCCCCACATGGGCACAATGTGTGAAGCCCATTTCTGGTGTCCCCCGCCGTGATATTGCTGGAATATTGCTAAAAGCGGCGTAAAACCATACTCACTCACTCACTCACTCATTGGGTCATGTTGGGGTCAAGAACCAGGTTTCACAAATACATGGTAACAGTAAGACTGTTCGTAGCATAGACTTAGCACAGTCGTAGCTCTAACAGAAAACAGTTCTGGGCAACTGACAAGCTTTATCAGAAAATTTTTTTGCTCATCACATAGGTACAACGTACTGAGCTCATTCTCATTTGCAATTAAAGACGACTATCTTGTCGTAAGAGGCGACTAACGGGATCGGGTGGTCAGTTTCGCTGACTTGGTTGACACATGTCATCGGTTCCCAATTGCGCAGATCGATGCTCATGCTGTTGATCACTGGATTGTCTGGTCCAGACTCGATTATTTACAGACCGCCGCCATATAGCTGGAATATTGCTGAGTGCGGCGTAAAACTAAACTCACTCACTCACTCACTCATTTGCAATTGTCTTCTGCTGCGATATTCCCGGATATATGTACATATTAAACAAACAGCAAATCAAATATTGTTCGGAAAAAGCGGAAAACCATTTTCTTGAGTTACGAAATCTCTGCTGAAACAGGAGTCCGTTATAAGATTTCGACCACATGAGAAAGGTTTACAAAAGCAATTAGATTCATTGTTGAATTACTCTATTGAATGGGGAGTTGAAGTTAATATCTGAGAAACATGTATTTATAAATCCTTACCAATTAATTATGATACCACGTGTTCGAGAGTGTGAGTAAGTTTAGTATTACGCCGCTTTTAGCAAATATTCCAACAATATCATGGAGGGGGACACCAGAAATGGGCTTCACACATTGTGCCCATGTGGGGAATCGAATCGGGATCTTCGGCGTGACGAGCGAACGCTTTAACCACTAGGCTACCTCGCTGTTTGAGAGAAGGTAAGCACATCCTGCACATGCATGCGACACAAACACATGCAAAGGCACGTCAAATTTTTATGTGAAAAACCAACAGAACATTTTGTAAAAGTGAAAACAGCATTGGACATTATTTTGATCAGACCCATGAATATCGCTGAGTGCGGCGTAAAATTCACTCACTCATACTTTGCATATCAGGCCTTTAATTTAAGCCATCACGGTTTCTTTCAGGTGGAACTTTAAAACGACCGGACCTTTCATCAAGCACTAATATTGAGGTAATTGCGCGTTAGATATGAATGGCTAGTTAGTCTTTTGTACAGCCAAGCCATATGAATGTAATGTTTGTAATAAGTGTAAATGTTGACACTGGTTTAGATTTATCCAACATTTCATTATCTCCTAAATGCTCTGTCAGCATTCCAGCAATATCACGACGGGGGACACCAGCAATGGGGCTTCACACATTGTACCCATGTGGGGAATCGAACCCAGACCTTCGGCGTGACGAGCGAACTCTTTAACCACTAGGCTAGCCTACCGCAACCCTGCCGTAAAACGCATGGGTTTATAATGATATGAACAGAAAAGTGAAAAGATAACAGTGAGAGTAACATTGGAACCCAAACTTTTAATAAAAGGAGGTTAACGTGAGGTTCTAATGTATGGATCAAGGGGCAGTTATTCTCTCAGATAAAATATTTTCGTAAAATATATGCTACAATATGAGTGAGTGAGTGAGTTTGGTTTTACGCCGCTTTTAGCAATATTCCAGCAATATCACCTCGGGGGACTCCAGAAATGGGCTTCACACATTGTACCCATGTGGGGAATCGAACCCGCGTTTTCGGCCACTATGCTACTCTCACGTTTGAAATAAGGATTGAAATAGTAAAGTGTCCAAATTATTGCAAATAGTTTCGAACACATGGAAATATGATTATTGGTTACTTATCACTGCCCCTTGGCTATTTGTCATAGTAAACTTGTCAAGATAATGGACGGGTGTGGACTCTGGCGTAAATGAACGCATTGTTATAACGGGATACTCAATCTATCAATCAATTGGCTGCAAGAGTTGTATGTTCCCAGGGAGTTGAGACTGACATCCGATGATATGGGGAAAATAAATTGCCTTTGATCAGCAGAGCTGGAGAATGGCTATGGATCTAAGAGTTGATCTAACACATATCAATAAATCTATCCATTTCTAACCTTGTTCGTGAATTCGACGAAGGCATTTTGTTGTCAGCCAATTGTCTCTGTGTGTGCATGTATGTGTGTGTGTGTGTGTGTGTGTGTGTGTGTGCGCGCGAGCGCGCGCAGGCATGGATGAAAGCATACATGTAAATGTTGCCAAAAAATGATTTAATATAAACTATCTCTCTCCCCCCCCCCAAAAAAAAGCATAGGCGTTTTGTATTTCTACAAATCTATTAATGACCAGTTGTGTTCAAACAATCGTCAAAATATGTAACAAAAGTGTTGATAACATGATAATGTTGATTTAGATGAGATTAATAAATTAAAAAGGCATCGCCACAATGCAACAGAAATCACCTTCCAGTAGAAATTGTGCAGGAAAGGGCATGCACTGTCTGGATATAAAAATCCATATTACTTTCGGAAATCGGCATTCGTTTTGAAGGAGTTTCAAGGTCAAATCACTACGCCACGTCTTGACGCTGCGACACGGAACATCGCCATTGAAAGAACTTTCTGTTGCCAGGCGTCTGAGCACGATATCACGGCTTGCAGCTCGTTACAACCAAACGGGTATAACAAATGACCGTCCCCATACAGGCAGACCTCGAGTCACCACTGCAGTCCAAGATGGGTACATCAGGTACTACATTTGCGTGATCGTACTGCCACGGTTGAGAGCACAGCATCCAGGGTGCCTGGACTTCGGAGGATATCCGGTCAAACTGTAGGGAACAGGTTGAGAGAGATTGGACTGAGAGCCAGGAGACCCGACCTTGGGTCCATGCTACGTGGTCACCATCGTCTCCGTTATCTAAAATTATTCACTTGGTTGTATAGACATTTCCTCCTTCTAAACTGACGTAAAAAAATCATGTACTAAAGTCTATTTGTGGACGAGTTATACATGTTTGAAAATACAACATTTTAGCACGAGATTTCTGGGTTATGCGTTTCTTTTTTGGAATAGTATATTTGGAATGACTGCATTGTCTGGTCCCGACTCGATTACAATCACAATCTTATATCTGGAATATTACTGACCGCAACTTTAAAAAAGTACGATGTTTTATTTGTCAGTTGCATGGTTAGCATATTAAATAAATTCGTTTTAAGTCTATATTTTAGCTGTTATCCCCAGAAAGTGCAACTATGTTAATGTGTTTCCAGTCACCTTTCGTGTAAGCACAAATTTCGTAAACCTACACTTCATGGGTTATGGGGCGGTGGGGTAGCCTATTGATTAAAGTGTTTGCCCGTCATGCCTAAGACCCGGGTTCGATTCCCCACATGAGTACAACGTGTGAAGCCCATTTCTGGTGTTCCCCGCCGTGATATTCCTGGAATATTGCTAAAAACGACGTAAATTCTCTCTCACTCACATGGGCTATGTAACAGCTGTACCAGCCCCAATGACTGATCAAGGTTTATTCCAAATTCTACCATGGATACGTGAAACATGATTGGTCAATCAATAAAATCAGGCTGAAAATGTAACAGCTGCCGTACCAGCCCCAATGACTGATCGTGATGGAAAGGTTTATTAAAACTCAAAATACAATTATACGATTTCTCCTCCTCAATTATTAGGGAACCTCACTATCGTAATTATTACCTTCTATTATAAAAATATCCAAACTCAATTACAATACACAGCCCCAAACAAAAACAAACAATATCTAACATATAAATCACAAAACCTTGTAAAAAATTAAAAATACATCCCTATCTATACCTATTTGTGCGGCAAAACGTTCGTAAACATTTACCTACCTGGTAAATGGTATATTTGTTTCCGTTTAGAATGAGAAATTCGCAAGATAACGGTCAGGCGAAACACAAAATTTAGGCCACTCATACTCCATCATGTCCCGTTGCATCGTTCAAAATGTCAAAAATTGAACCACGAGTATTCCGCGCTCTGCCACCTTCCCCTCAAGGCTGTCACTGCTATGTTCGTACATTTTGAAAAGCTTGGCCACAATCCAGTCCAAAATGATGAGAACAATGTTCCAAGGAATCCCAAGTTAGTCGCATGTACACAAAGCAGTACTGTCACTGACACTCTTTTGTCGCATGCCGGGGTGGAGGCAGGTACGTGAAATTATGATCGACACTCGCCGGTCATAAAAATCAACAGTCTTTGATGAGTTACAGGTCATAGGTCGATCAGAAAAGGATATATTCTTCGATTCTGCAGGGTTCAGGTTCGACAGTCAGTCAAGTATTTTCCACTGTCACTTCGAATTTCAACCTTTCGCAAAATGTAAACACTGGCTCGTCCGCCATTTCAAACTGTTGCGTAACTGTCTACTTCCAAGAAAATAAGTAGGTCAGACGATTCCATTATAGTGTGGCCAGGGGGGTACAGTAACACGGCACACAAAACAATAGGCTGGTTTCGGTCGTGTGGAGTTACGATTATAAAAACCAAGCTCTTAGGTGTTACATTATTCTATTGAATAAACAGTAGTTTGTTTTCTTTGGACAGAATAGTTTTTATGTTGCAATGTTAACAAAAATACGAACGGCACCTACCACTCCCTTCACAGACGAGTTCAATTCGCCTTCTCGTCCCATGCCGGATTACGCCGTGTCTTCCGCAGGACGAGGAAGTTCGATGTTAAATTGGTTATGGTAGAATGGAGATAAACATACTGTGTTTTGAAATTAGATGAATGTTAGACCGAATTGATAGTCTCTAAATTAATCATTTGAAACCTCACGCTACGCGTTCGGCTTCAAATGAAATTTAGAGACTATCAATTCGGTCTAACATTCATCTAATTTCAAAACACATGACGTTTATCTCCTAAATCAACTCTTCCCGGAACGAAATAGGACTATTGTCGTTGATTGTATCTAATTACTAGTAACACCTGTCACAAGAGACAATTGGTTAAATAGTTCATTGACAGAGTCCATCTCTCAATCATTTTCAGTTTGACAACGTCGAAATCCTCTCCAACGAAGAGTTTATCAAGCAATTAGTCTCTATCAATCAACTATTTAATATCATCAAATCAGCTTATGAACAATTTAATCCTTCCTGTATATTCCACTGTGCTACTTTTCGTACTCTCCATCTGGCTGCATCCACTTTAGTGCAACCTCTGATCAATTTCCTGTCGTTTTTGTCAAATCTGTATAGTATGTATATATGTTACAGGAAACATGTATAATCACGAGATATGTATAATTACTGAAAATTTCAGTAATTATACATAATTCCTGAAAGTTAAGAAACAAAATTATACATATTTACAAATTATACATATTTTCTGTAACATATATACACCTGGTTGTAGTCACATATAAATAACCCTCAAACCTCAAACCCTTGGTCATTGAGTTATGTACTCGCTTGTGTTCATCTCAATTGGGTATCCTAATTTTCCTTTGAGTAACCAAATAAATTGTACCCATCTCACTCAAACTCAATTGGATAATTTGCCATTTTTCATTAATTGTAAAACTATAATTATGTTTAAATGTTAGTTTACTTGTTTTTTTATTTATATTTGATTTCTAATGAGAAACGATAAGAAAGACTGCAGGTTAAATTGCCAAGTTCATCTGTTGAAATAGAACCTCTCAATATACCTCAGTTAGTTAGATTTGACATTTTTGTGTGTAGCATGTAAGATAAAATTTAGTGAGTATTACTCACTATTACTTGTACGCAATAGACTTACTAGGAATTGAGTTTTCACATACATATTTGCGTAATTTACGCAGATACGCAGCTTATCTGTAACTTTAATAAATGCCAACAAAAAAAGAAATAAAACCAAACCACATCATCATCATCATCATCACATTTATTTTGATATCGGGGTAAGAGTCTACGTCGAAAATTTATTTTATGCTTAGTAGTGTGTCCTCATGACGTTCATTGCGGGCCTTGAAGGACCGGAAGTGGGTCTGTCGGAAAAAGAAATTAACTTTGAATAAAATATCATTTGAAATTGTGTCATCATGTAGATACTACTATTATTGATGTCAAACTTTTGCAAACTGTTATCTTCCCAATAGACCTCCGATTGACAAAGATTATCAAAGATTTATTGTACATCTCTTCAAGTAGGGCGGCAGGGTAGCCTAGCGGTTAAAGCGTTCGCTCGTCACGCCGAAGGCCGAGGTCGATTCCCCACATGGGCACAATGTGAGAAGCCCATTTCTGGTGTCCCCCGACGTGATATTGCTGGAATATTGCTAAAAGCAGCGTAAAACTCACTCACTCTTCAAGTAACGTTTTCGTACTCAATCTACATGGAAACTGCCTTCTTGATGTATTCTGTGTCATTGGATGTGTGCTGCTGTATCATTGCAGAAATGACATACAATATACCCTGGTTATAGTACCACCGTTTGTCCAGGAGAAAATATGGCATTATATGCAGGGTGGCATTATAACCAGGTAGGACAGTTAGAGGACCTGTGCAATCAACAAGGTGATTGAGCTGATGTCTCCTGTAATGAGCCTTGAATGACTGGATAATCCCAACGTCTAGGGGCTGCAGGTGACTTGTTGTTGTAGGTGGCAGGAAGTGTATTGTCACGGGTGTTGTCCTATCTGGGATTACAAGACGTAAATCATTCATGAGTTTGGTCAATTAATCTGAGTCATGTCAACCAACCAATTAAAGTACATGTATGTACATGCTACATGCAGCCAGTGTAATTGGCATTATATCCAGTTATCCGAGGTATTATAGAGGCAGGAAGTCCAGTCTGGAAAACACGTGGCATTATATCAAGTTTGGCATTATAAACCAGGGGCATTTTAACAAGGGTAGTATATAGGCAGGAAATTTGTTCAGGCAAAACATGTCATTATATCCAGTTTGGCATTATAAACCAGGGGCATTATAACAAGGGTAATATATAGGCAGGAAATCTGTTCAGGCATAACATGGCATTATATCCTGTTTGGCATTATAACCTGGGTGCACTGTACTCTGCTTTCAGTTATGTTAACTGATCCGTCAAGCTCCGGGTTAGAATTGGTCTTCAGGAACCCATGCCTGTTGTAAGAGGCGACTGACTGGATCAGATGGTCAGGCTCGCTGACATGGTTGACGTATCCAAATTGCGTAGCTGCTATTGATCACTGGATAGTCGAGGTTCGATTCTTTACAGACCGCCGCCATATTGCTGGATTATTGCTGAGTGCGGCGTTAAACGACAACCAACCAACCAACCAACGATACTATCCATCATATAGGCGAGAGGAGTTATAAATATATATCGTATGTTTGCAGGCACTGAGAGACCTCAAATCACCTCTGACGCAAAGCCCACTGATAAAGGCTCACCTTGAACGAAGATTTGCCCATAGGAGAAATATGTTGAAAGAGGCTTGCGACCAGTTAGGGAATAAACAATTCCCAAGAAATGTCAACAAACACCTGACGTACGATCACAAATTCAGCCAGCCAACGTATTCCATGTGTATGATACCAAAGGTTGGCAGTACCTTCTGGAGGCAAGTTTATACTGCATATAGGAAAACCGCTGACAAGTCAAAACCCAAGGAAGCGTATGATATTTCCATTGAATATGATCGCGGCTCGCTCAGACTATCTAACACAATGTTGACATTTGTTAGAGAACCGTACCAGAGATTGTTTTCGGGATATGTTGATAAAATATTCTATATCAATCCTTCGTTCTGGAATACCTTAGGAAGGTCTGTCGTTCGATTTAACGCTTCCCATACTAAAAGATCACGTGGCGGTCACGAAATAACATTTGCCGAGTTGGTGGATTACGTGCTTTACTGCCATGAAAACAAAAAGGACATTGACAGCCATTTTAAACCAATGAGTGAACACTGTGGGTTTTGTGAGATTGATTATACGTACATTGGGAAGATGGAGACGTTTCGAGATGACGTTGTCTATATTAGTGACGTCATGGGTTTTCTCAACTTTACGACTATCGGGGAGAATATACTAAAGTATTGCTTCCATGGTAAGTCGGAAACGATTTACAGACTCGGTCATCTTGTGTTTTATCACACTCGGAGGGCCATGGAAAGATCCGGTGTGTCACTTATTGAAGGACTCCGGAGAACCTGGAAAACATGGCAGATTCGGGGAATGATATCGATAGAATTTCCATTTCCTTTACAAGCAAATGATACCAAAATAACATTCGAACGTTTCAATGAATTAGCACAAAAAGCATACAAAGCGTCCAAGCCCAGTATTCTACACGAGGCGAGAGACAGAGCACTGAGACAGGCATACGGCTCCCTGACCTATGATGCTAAGGTCAGATTGATGAAGATGTTTGAACCTGAGTTCAAGATGTTTGATTATAATCCTATGCCGGACTTCGTGTTTGGGGAACATCGGAATGAAGACAGTATTGATCTTTTTTTCATAACAAATACAAACAATAGTAATGATCATTCAAGGTTATGGATTGCACATGGGCCTGTATCACTATTTTATAGCCATTTTGATTGAGAAGAAAGGTATGATACTTCATAGATGACAACTTCTATATTATATTAGGGGCGGTGGGGTAGTCTAGTGGTTAAAGCGTTGGCTCGTCACGCCGAAGATCCGGGTTCGAATCCCCACATGGGTACAATGAGTGAAGCCCATTTCTGGTGACCCCCGCCGTGATATTGCTGGAATATTGCTAAAAGCGGCGTAAAACCAAACGCAGTCAGTCAGTCAGTCTATATTATATTATGATGAGTGAGTGAGTATGGTTTTACGCCGCTTTTAGCAATATCCCAGCAATATCACGGCGGGGGACACCAGAAATGCGCTTCACACATTGTACCCATGTGAGGAATCGCCTTCGAAGTGACGAGCGAACGTTTAACCACTTAGCAATCCCACCGCTCTCGTATATTATGATACGACGTTTCGGTTTGATTCTTGTACCGTTATCCATTACTCTTGCTTTACAACGATGTAAGTGAGTGAGTGAGTTGATTTTTTCGCCGCACTCAGCAATATTCCATCTATATGGCGGCGGTCTATAAATAATCGAGTCGGGACCAGACAATCCAGTGATGAACATCGATGTGCGCAATTGGGAACCAATGACATGTGTCAACCAAGTCAGCGAGTCTGACCACCCGATCCCGTTAGTTGCCTCTTACGACAAGCATGGGTTACTGCAGGCCAATATTCTAACCCGGACCTTCACGGGTCACAAAGATGTAAGAATGTATAGAGGAAGAGTGCTTGAAAACGGTATAAGAATGTTTACCGAAAAGTCGCATCATAATGTAATGAAGACGTCATCCATGAGGTATCATACCATGCTTGTTATTCATCAACTTCTAAAATGATAATCAAACTGAACATTGCGATTGACATATAAAATGAGATATATTGTCTCTGTATTAATTATATATTTACTTTCTATCGTCGGTACGTGTGATTATGGTGGCTGTTTATTAGTACGTAGATATGTGTGGTGCTTATCATATACGTTTGTAAAGGGAATAAAGCCACATTATGAAGGATACGATATGTCTGTTGTTGGACGTTTTTGTCTCTATATATGCGAGAGAACTATTTCGCCACATGGTTTTAAATATTTTACATGAACGCAAGAATTCTTGCGCATAAATGGTTGGTTGGTTTGACGCCGCACGCAGCAATATTCCAGCTATATGGCAGCGGTCTGTTAACAGTCGAGCCTGGACCAGACAATCCAGTGATAACCATCATGAGCATCGATCTACGCAGTTGGGATACGATGACATGTGTCAACCAAGTCAGCGAGCCTGACCGCCCGATCCCATTAGTCGCCTCTTATGACAAGCATAGGTTGTTGAACATCAACCCCTCTGGCAGGGTTTCATATTGGCGCATGAACACAGTGTATGAAATAAGGCCCGCCCGATGAAACGGTCTAGATTTCTGACGGACGGTATTAAATTTACAGCTAGCCAGCCCGATGGTCTGGTAACAGTTTTAGAAGTAGTTCTGATGTTCAATTCATTGTATGAAATAAGCCAAAAATCCAGCCAGACATCAGGGCTGGTAACTTCAAAATGTTACCAGCCCAAAATGGATTTAAACAGACCAAATATGGTGAATTTACTCAGATGTATGGAATTGTGTATTTCAAAGGTTTTAGATGTTTCATACATCTGAGTAAATTCCTCATGTTTGGTCTGGTTAAATCCATTTTGGGCTGGTAACATTTTGAAGTTACCAGCCCTGATGTCTGGCTGGATTTTTCGGCTTATTTCATACACTGAATTGAACATCAGAACTACTTCAAACAAGAACGACAACTCTATCCTGGATTCAGTCCGTTTGAGTCAGAAACGGACCGATGAATTGCTAAATTTGATCATTGTACAAAATTGCCACATAAATATAAATATCATTTACTAACATGTTTATCATTTACTAATACCCAACAGTTGTTTCTTATATTTGCAAAAATCTTTCCGGACTCCACTTTCTTTGGCTCTCTGAGTGAGGTTGGAGATTTTCTGTGAGAGGCACGTGCAAACTGTGTCTGACTGATCGTCAGGACCAAGTACACTTCATACTGATGTGTAACCGTACGGTTAATAAGATATTTCGTTTTACGCCACTGGTAGCAATTTAACAGTAAGATCATGACAGGCGATGTACTCGACCCTGTATATAAAAGACCATAGCCTAGCGTGTGGTGAACGTTTTGCATCAAACCACTATGGCATTAGACCAACACCTGGGGCGTTAGCACAGTGGGTAGTGCGCTTGCTCGTGATGCAGTTTCCTATCATTGGTACGATGTACATGTGTGTACGTGAATGCAACGTGTGGTCTCCGTTGAGGTACGACCGACAAAACACTATAGCAAGTCATGGAGACTTGTATTGCTCTCACTCTACACATGATAAGATGCAGTGTGAACCCCAAGGGTCAATTGCGTTGCCACTTTACCTTTTGAAGTTGGGTAAACTGGCTATGTCCATGACGCCAAACAGACGCAAAACGTTTGATGTAAAATAACTAACCAAGTAAAAATAGTCAACTCGATACTTTATGACAATACGTAACTGACATATTGTCACAATAACACCAAATCAAGGCCAACCCCTTATCCTACTTACTAGTGAAGGAGGGGCGGTGAGGTAGCCTAGTGGTTAAATCGTTCGCTCGTCACATCGAAGACCCTGGTTCGATTCCACACATGGGTACAATGTGTGAAGCCCATTTCTGGTGTCCCCAACCCTGATATTGCTGGAATATTGCTAAAAGCAGGGTAAAACTAAACCCACTCACTCACTCATACTAGTGAAGGTGCAGTGTAAGGTATATCGCTTGAAGAAGAATAGCCTAGTGGTCAACGCATTTTCTCGCCGGGGTTCGATTCCCTACATAGGTATAATGTGTGAAGCCCTATTCGGTGTCACTCGTCGTGATGTTGCTGGAATATTGTTAAAAGGGAAATTGACAAGTTTAATTGAATCCACGGGAACACCTACACTGACTAATTACGTACAACAAGTTAATGATTACCGTAAATACCTAACATTTACACTGATTAAAGTGTTTAACCCGAAGCTAAATCTGCAATGACCCAGAGAGTGAGTGAGTCAGTGAGTAACTCCTCTCGCCTATATGATGGATAGTATCGTTGGTTGGTTGATTGTCGTTTAACGCCACACTCAGCAATATTCCAGATATATGGCGACGGTCTGTAAATAATCGAGTCTGGACCAGACAATCCAGTGATCAACAGCATGAGCATCGATCTACGTAATTGGGATACGATGACATGTATCAACCAAGTCAGCGAGCCTGATCACCCGATCCCGTTAGTCGCCTCTTACGACAAGCATGGGTTATTGAAGATCAATTCTAACCCTGATCTTCACTGGTCGGACTGACCCGGAAATACAACTTCCCTCTTTAACAGGGAACCATGTATATACGTTGTGTATAACGTCAAATATTTGCGTGAATGGAAAAGATTATTATAACCCAGCCTCTGCTTATGCCTCCTTCCTATTCTGTGAGCGCAGTACTTGTCTATTTCAATATTTTGTTTAGCTTCCCGTAATTACAAATCTTTGATGTCGTCATTGATAATATGATGTATATAAGCCCGCTGATACCAGTCGTGTCCCCAGCGACACTAGGAGGACCAGGGCTAAATAGCCAATTATTGCAATTACGGGACATAGTCAGACTAAATTTACTAAGCCGGATTAGGGCCGACAGACAATTGGAACTAGGAGAAATGGCAAAACTGTTTTATTTGCACATGTACATCGATGTTACATACATCATCAACAGCACTAATTTACAA